AGATCCTCTTAACTTATGAAAGATGACTGACCTCTCAGAGAGATATGTCTTGAGACACAGAGGATTTTTGTTTCTGATACCGTCCGTTCCGATGACTTGCTAACCAGCTGCGGTTCGCCAACAGCATTTTTCTTCTCATTTCTTTCTCTCCTTACTGAAGTCCATTTATCATCACTCAGGACAGCCACACTGGGACTATTTGGAACGATGACAGTTTTGTCCAGGTCTTCAATTTCCACTAGAGGTGTGTGATTTCCAATGTCAATATCAAGCGGCACTTCACTCCTCGTTAATGTTAACGGAGATTTCACTTTTCCGTCAATCATAATCGGATGTTTAACGGGTCCGATATCAGCACTTACTACACTGATACATTCTTCACTGTCAGTGCTCGTGTTGTCAGAGCAACCGTCAAAGCCAATAGGCTCATAGCCTCCTGGATTATTAACTTCTTATTTGTACAGCAAAACATACAAAGTCAATGCGAGTTAGGCTTCGAGCATCTTTTGTATGCCGTAGGATTTAGACGTGCACACATCTTATGGTACCACTTTTTACATTCATCTCACTGCATTCCTTCTTCAACGGGGAACAAGCAGTTTGGTTGTCCACATTTATAAGTCTTGCTAACCATTGTAATTTGATTTAAAAGGTTTAAAACACAATATGATCACAACGTGAACACGAGTGTCAGTCAATGAGTAAACAAAAAAAGGTAACACAGGACAACGTATAGCAAACATTTCAAACCTTAACCAAAGTACTTTTAGTTAAAGTAGACCAAGAATGCTTTAGGTTGTAACGAGTACACAAAGCAAGGATAATCACAACTTGTACAAAAATCACTTCCTTTTTTGAAACGAGCGCGCCAGACTTTTTTCGCATAAGGTTGCTCCACTTTGGCTGTATGTCCCGTCTAAACTAGATGGTCTAAAATGGAGCTGTTAACCGTTTTGACTACACCTTTGCTTAACCACACGGGGAGGTGCTCACGAGCCCAAATGTATAGATTCCTAGAACATCTGCCAATGTAACTTGCTCCACAGTAGCAGTTGAATTGATTGATAAAGTCATAATAAGGTGACGTAATTCGATTAATGTTCATTTTATGTCCCAAATTATATTATTATTATTATCTTTACCATTATCATCATCATCATCATCTTTATCATTGTTATCATTATTATCATTACACTTGATAACATTTTTAAGGAATTCATTCAGTATTCACCCCGATCTACTATATCTGACCAGATTCATATTATCCTACATACTACGTAATTTTTTATTTTTATTCCATTATTTTCTCTCTCAACCCATGTTGACCATACTTATTATGATCATTTATCACGCAATTTTATTTCACTTATAAACTGACTCAAGTTTACACTTTATATTAGTCAACCCCAACGAATTGATTTGATTTAATATGACAAATACTAATTCTTGATTTACATATTACCATTTTAAATATATATCTTTCCAATTTTATAGATTAATAATTTGGAATTATAATTGTAGAACCTGATGAAAAATTATTGAAATGAATATTCTTCGTTTATATAGTTGTATTTTAATATAATAGGAATTTTTCAGCGACTTCCTTGATTTCATATTTCAGTAGAAAGTAACATTATTGTCGTCATTTTTGAATACAAAATAATATGAACGTATATATTATGCAGACTTTCCAAAATTATACAACCATGCCATTTTGTACAATCAAAGAAACTATTTATCCCCAGTAGTATTTGCTTCACCAACTGACATTAGTTTATATGACTAACTTATTCATCAGACTATGTTGATTTATTTTCGATTTCAAGGTGAAGTGTAGTCTTGATTACAAACATCTAGTTAACTTTCGCGGTGAGTGGCGTGAATGTCCACGAGATGGTGGTATTATGAAAATAGCTGAAGATGACACTAGCCATGATTGGATCCAATGTCCAAATTTTCATGATGTATGCTCTGTGAGTTAAACATAGTCGATATTATGACTGTCATTTATCTATTTCCTTATTCAGTTTGTGTAGAACGTAGCAACAGGAAACATCAATCGAATTTAAAAATGTAGATAATTAAGTTGTGATTCGTCACTTTCTATGATAAACACTTTCAATGGTGTCATAGGTGCTCACTTGTGAGGCGTTCCGTATTACGACAAAACAGTTGTCCAGTGCTTTGTGCTTTTTAAGTGGTACTTTCAATGATGCTAATCCGTGGTGCATACAACTTACTAAATATTCACCATTTCGGATTAATTCGTATTCCATTTGCAAAAGGCTGAGTGCACAGGATAGATTATTCCTTATAGATAATATACGAGTGAAATAAATCATCCTTACTGTAATGTCGAATTCATTATGCAATTTTAATCACGGTTAAACTAAACAGTCAGTCAGTTAAATGTGACATAAAACTCGACATGTGTATACATTGGTTCAAGTTGCCATACCTCATTAGCACAATCAGATGGAAATGTTAGTGCGGATCACAGAGTAGTAGATGTTGTAACAGGATCAGTAGTAACAAACAACAATGGCCATTCAATAAACAGTTCAAGAAGAAAACACAAACTAATGAACTGATAAAAGAAATCCTTGAGGAAGTCAGAAACATATGATCTTAGGGAGGACAGGGAGTGAATTCAGATGCGTCATTGCGAATGATTTGAGGACATCCCGTTCAAGATCTCTCAGCATTCGTTGCGATGATCACGTGGACCCCAGCATGGTAAACTGTACCCGCTTACGTGGCTCAGTTCACCAGTTAGTGTCTTCATGGACTGATGACATGTTTTATTATGGCCACCTCTAACTTTCTTCTAATCTACTTCTATATCGGCCATCATCGTATATCGAGGTGGTCTGTGGATGGATATACATAAAACATGTCCAAATCACCTCAATTGATAGAGATTTACTACTTTGTCAAATGATTTACCATAGTTATCTAGTGCTCTGTGTTCAGTCTCAGTATTCTTAACTTCATAGTTTATAAACATACTAGCAATGATTAAAGACTTCCGTGATTGAATACTTGCAACCTACAAATATCCGCTATTTGTGTGGGCCATGTTTCACACCGAAAATGCCACAGGTATTCGGAGTTTGACAACGCTTTAACCAGTAACACCTTCTAATATGAATCGTACCCACCAAGTGAAATCAAAAGACAGAAGCGAGGAGGTTCGAAGATATATTTGATAGGCTGTCAATATATCGAGGATCGTCTGATCTACTTTGGTTAGCTATTAAAGGGGTTGTCTAGCATGGTGTTCCCACTCATGATCTGGTGCGGATGCATGACCGAGCGCTTTCAGCTAGATGAGTCCATTAAAACTAATGTGGTCAGCATCCAATGTCGAAGACTTATAGAGCTATTTAATTTGGGGATTTATTTACCTTTACAACACCCAACCATAAATTGATCACTAAATTTTATTGAATTCGATACAAATTTTCATCTGTGGCCAGTAATCAACTCTACAGAACCAAACATTTCAAATAGAAAACAACAGTGTAATATTCTGTTGTTGTGAATAAGCTGAACCACGGACTAAATGTTCTAAAACTGTTCATGTGTGATGTATGAACGAAACAGTAGACAAACGCGTAGCCATTCAGATAGTCCAAAGTTTTCACCTATTTGCATGTTACAATGTCGGTCAACTAACACGGAAACTAACTCATAACACATGTACATGAGTTAAATGATTTCAGCCAATGGAACATAACTTTTCCATCTTTGAAATTAACACAACGCAAATTGAATTGTTTAAATATCCCCGTCATATTAAATTGTTGATAAACCAAAAACATTGTCTATCACAATTACTTACAAAGATGTATGAGATTTGTTTTGTCATAAATGAAAACACCAACAGCTATCGCAACTTTCTAAGATATTTATGATTCATTTACAATCCAAACTAAACAATTGTTAAATCAATATTGAAGATCGTGCAACATATTACATTACGATTGGATTCAGTTTCTTTCTATTCACTTTCATTCACATTTGTTCAGGTTAGAAAAATATTGGAAAGAATACGGAGAAGGAATGAGCAAAACATTATTACACAATCGTAATGGAACAATACGCGTTTTGTTATTAACGAATGACACAAATTTCATATTGTACTGAAATTTATCTCCATTAGTTTACTGTTTAAAAATCCTCATAGTATTTGAACGAAGAATATTCTTTTCGATAAATTCACTTCAGTTACTACAATTATAGATCCAAATTAATAATCATAGGATTGGCCAGGTTTAAGGCGATGTGCATCGTTTGAAGTTAAAGCATGTGAATTTAAGACTATCAAACAAAATAGAATAAAATCGTCGATATGTCGATATGACTCATATGGGCTTATATGTTAAGTGTAAATTTATGATCCATGATCAGAACAAATATGGGTCGGATAGGGTGAGAGAAATAATAGTGTAGTTACAAATGCGATCAAATATTTGGTGGAACACTACAATGTGTAAAGATTTTATATGAAATCAATAAGACATAATAAAGTGAGTTGAATGTGAAGTAAATGAATCATGTATTGGGAAGAATTAATAATGATGTTAAACCAATAATAATAATAATAATAATAATAATAATAATAATAATAATAATAATAATAATAATAATAATAATAATAATAATAATAATAATAATAATAATAATAATAATAATAATAATAATAATAATAATAATAATAATAATAATAATAATAATAATAATAATAATAATAATAATAATAATAATAATAATAATAATAATAATAATAATAATAATAATAATAATAATAATAATAATAATAATAATAATAATAATAATAATAATAATAATAATAATAATAATAATAATAATAATAATAATAATAATAATAATAATAATAATAATAATAATAATAATAATAATAATAATAATAATAATAATCATAATCATAATCATAATCATAATCATAATCATAATCATAATCATAATAATAATAGTCATAATAATAATAATAATAATAATAATAGTCATAATAATAATAATAATAATAATAGTCATAATAATAATAATAATAATAATAGTCATAATAATAATAATAATAATCATAATCATAATCATAATCATAATAATAATAGTCATAATAATAATAATAATAGTCATAATAATAATAATAATAATAATAATAGTCATAATAATAATAATAATAATAATAATAATAATAATAGTCATAATAATAATAATAATAGTAATAATAATAATAATAATAATAGAAAGATTTGGGAATAAATATAGCAAACAATTATATTTGACTAAGAAGGTTGTGAGTACATTTGTCAAATTAGGTCATTCAATAGCTAAGATTAGTATTGATTAGTTAGCCATGAAGTCAGTCAGGGAAAAAGAAGCCGTTGAAGATATTTATCTGTACACAACTCCGATTTCTTAATCCGGATAGCTAGTGCTTCCACCGTTAGAAGAAATTTGAGTCTGACAGGCTTTGGCGAAAAATTACTAACCCGAGAGATAATTTATAAAAGATTGGCTTATACTGGCACTATGACCAGTTTGTACCGTTTATTAAATAAATTCAACACTCTCCAAAACCATATCAGTCTCTCATGTGAAGAGGAGAAGAACGATCAGCTCCCCTTCCTAGATATACTTCTGAGTAGACGAGAAGATGGCTCAGTCAAGCGATCGATTTTTAGAAAACCTACGTGGACAGGTCGATACCTTAGTTATTATAGTTATTGCCCTGTGCAATGCAAACGTGGTTTGATAAAGTGTCTTTTCAACAGGCTTGATCGCATTTGTACAAATGACGCCATTGATGATGATGTTAAGTTGTTAAACAAAACATTAATAGAAAATGGTTACAACCTGAAATTCATAAATAGATGGAAAGTTCACGGTACAGTGAGACCTATTGTAGCCTCGGTGAAGAAAAAGCCTGTCTACATCACCTTACCATTCAGAGGTGATTCAAATAGTCTGTTATTGAAACAAAGACTTAAATCAGTCATCAGTAAAACGTACTGCGCAGCAAAGGTCATTGTCAAAGAAAGAACAAGGTGCATGTTTCATCCAAAACCTAAAAGACAGGAAAACGATTGTGTCACATCCCACTGTGTTTACCAATTTAAATGTGTGTGTGGTCACACATACATAGGGAGGAGCAATCGTAATCTTAACATTAGGGTGAGTGAACATGTACCCAAATGGCTGCAAAAACAAATACAATCAAGTGACCCAATAAGAGCAGAGGATAAACATCCATCATCCTCTATTGCTAAACATATAATTGAAACAGGGCACAAGATTGATCTAAACTCGGCTTTTGTGGTATTATATAAAAGTGTAAAAGAGCATATGCTAAGGTTTATTGAAGCCTTAGCTATACGAAAATTCAAACCCCCTTTGTGTAATCAAAAACAGTTTGTTCTTACCTTAAACCTACCCTGGTAATATTGACTTATTGGATGCCGGCCGGCTCAGTGGTCTAGTTGGTTAAGCGCCTGGCGCGAGACTGATAGGTCCTGGGTTCGAATACCGCGGGGGGCGGGATCGTGGATGCGCACTGCTGAGGAGTCCCATACTAGGACGAAACGGCCGTCCAGTGCTTCCAGGTTTTCCATGGTGGTCTAGCTTCAATTGATTCATGATTTCAACGATTGAAATTGCCAATTCTCCACAAAACCCATTCTAGTAATATTGACCTATTATCCAGAGTGATTAGGTTTTGAATAGTGTTCAGATTATTATTATTATTATTATTATTATTATTATCATCCTTATCTCCTCTTACCTCATTTCCAGTCTAGTTAACCTTTATTTTTATATATAAATGCTCTTAACAAGTATGTGTGATCAGATTGTTCGAAATGTATTGCGCTAATATATCACATAGTTCTGATAATCTCTGTCTTCTTATTACATTATCGAAATTTATAAAAGGGACTAATTGCTTTAATAAGACATAAAGTGAGATGAATGTGAAGTAAATGAATCACGTATTGGTAAGAATTAATAATGATGTTAAACCAATAATAATAATAATAATAATAATAATAATAATAATAATAATAATAATAATAATAATAATAATAAGAAGAAGAAGAAGAAGAAGAAGAAGAAGAATAGCAAGATTTGGGAATAAACATATCCGACGATTGTATTTGACTAAGAAGGTTGTGAGTACATTTGTCAAATTAGGTCATTCGATAGCTAAGATTACTACTGATTAGTTAGTGTAGTGTTTGAATGAACTGATGATTCCTTTGTACTTGTTGAATGCTTGATTACGAATTTCAAATACAGGACACTCGTTAGTGCTTGTTTAGTACTTCTTGATTCAATTGCGTTATTTCTGGGATTCTTAGTTCGTAATATAATTGAAATATTCCCAATTATCATATTGGCGTCGCGATGGAGCCTGCGTTGGAACAGTTAGATATTCATTCAACTTCTGAAGCTTTTGAGGATTATTTAGAAAGGTTTGAAATTTGGAGTATGACCAAGAAAGATTTTATAGTTGATAAAACTGTGGCACATTTCCTGACATTCGTCGGAAAAGAAGCATACAGCTTATTAAAAACTTTGGCATATCCAGAAAAACCTATCTCACTTCCTTATGCAACTATTAAGGAGCTATTGTTAAATCATTTAAGGTGCACTAGTTTTGAATGCCGTGAAAGGGCGAAATTTCATGAGATGATTCGTCGAGATGACCAAAAGTTTAGGGAATTCATCCTTGAATTACAGAAACAAGCTGCCAAATGTAATTTTAATGATCAACTTCATGTGCAACTGAGAGATCGATTAATTTCAGGAATTAACATACCGGGTTTGGAAAGAGAGCTGTTAAAAATGCCGAACTGTTCCTTTTAAGATGCTAGAACTGTGTGTATTAACTACGAGGCGGTGAATGAACTTGATATCCAGTTGATGAAGATTTCTGATACTTTCCTTAGTCGTCATGATGTTATAAAATCTCAGGGTCAATCAAACTTGCGTTCGTTTAACAATGATTCTTATTCTCGTGTAAATATGAAAGGTGTTTCAATAAGGAATTACAAAGCAAATCACTAAGGTGAGACCAAGTTTGGTAAGTGTTTAACCTGTTGAAAATTTCATTCTCGTATTGTAGCAAGTCTATTACACGAATGTATTACTTTTTTTTCGGTGAGTCTCATATATATTTCTTGTTGTTATTTTTGACTTCTTCATATTGTATATTTCAATCCTCAGCTTATTATTATTGCTATTGTTATTATTTCTTCGTATCATGTCACTTGATAATTCACCAAGCCTTTCATCTAAGTCTATTTCCGTGGGTGCCATCTCTGTACCTTTACCTGTCTTTAATCCCCGAATGGGCGAACTCTGGTTTGCACGCTTAGAAAGCATTTTTGCTGCAAACAGAATCACAAATCAGAGCACAAAATTTAGTCATGCAAACTCATTGCTCCAAGACGATGTTATAGAACAGGTGCCTGATGTCATTTTTAAGCCGGATCCAGACTCACCATACGATTGTCTAAAAAGAGAGGTCATTCTTGTTACACCTCTCACCGACCAGCAGGCAATTGATCAACTTTTAGCTAATGTAGAGCTAGGTGACAGTACACCATCTCAATTAAAACTCTACATGACAAATTTATTGGGGAGTCGTACAGTAGATAAAAGTCTATTATATCAATTGTGGCTCAGACGTCTCCCACAAAACATCCAACAGATACTAGCGATTGGAGACGGAGATATCGATTTTGATAGGCTAGCAGATATAGCCGATAGAATTTACGAGCGAACTAGGACTCACTCCGTACCTCACATACAATCAAACTCAACTGACGAGATCGCCGAGTTACGACGAACAGTCGAAGTCCTCACTAATCAGATAGCCCAGCTCCGATTTTTGAATTCCTCCCACTGCACGTGTAGAGGAAGGTCCAGAAGCTGTAGACGTCGTAGTCCAAGCACCACACGACATAACATTTGTTGGTACCATAAAACGTACGGTAAACAAGCTAAAAAGTGTACTCCTCTCTGTAACTTCGCAAGCACACAACAAAGGGACCGTCAAGGCCGTCGGTTAGTGACGACTGCAGTCGCTGACCACAACTCTCGAGGCAGTCGTTTGTTATATGTTACAGACAAAAGAACCGGAACACAGTTCTTAGTCGACACCGGAGCAGAGGTTAGTGTAGTACCACCCACTGCACTTGAGAAAAATACACCTGACCCCAAACTAAAACTAGAAACCGCAACCAGATCTGAGATCAAGACATACGGCAGAAGGCAGTTACAATTAAATTTCGGTCCTAAATCCAATTTTTCATGGAGCTTCATCATTACTGACGTCCTCGTTCCTATAATCAGCATTGATTTTCTGCAATCCCATAAAATACTCGTAGATGTAAGAAATCGGAAACTTGTCCTTGCCGATCATAGCAGTGAAATTAGAGGAATTATATCTAACGAGACGTCTATACATTTATTGATCAAACCTCATCGCGAGAATGACAAGTACGTTAGTTTACTTAATCAGTTTCCAGACTTATTACAACCGAGTTTCAAACGGGACAAACTGACACATACCGTCGTACATCACATAAAGACAGAGGGTTCACCAGTGTTTTCACGTCCAAGACGCCTTGACCCCTCTCGTTTGGTTCTAGCAAAGAACGAATTCAACAAAATGATAGAGATGGGTATCATACGCCCCTCCGATAGTCCGTGGGCATCACCGCTCCATATGGTACCCAAGAAAAACTCTTCCGAAGTCAGACCTTGCGGCGACTATAGAGCTCTCGACAGCCGGACTATACCAGACAGATATCCACTTCCACATTTACATGACTTTACTCATAGTCTATCTGATGTGACGATTTTTTCAAAAGTTGATCTCGTCCGTGCTTACCATCACATTCTAATTCACCCGGACGATGTTTCCAAAACAGCCATTACTACCGCATTTGGATTATACGAATTTGTTCGCATGTCTTTGGGATTAAGGAATGCTGCACAAAGTTTCCAGAATTTTATCGATCAAGTGGTACGTGGCTTACCTTTCGTATATGCTTACATAGATGACTTACTTATCGCAAGCAAAAATGAAAATGAACATCTAACTCATCTGAAAATGCTTTTTGAGAAGCTAAACGAGTATGGGTTAGTAGTCAAACCTGACAAATGTGAGTTCGGAAAACAATCCCTCACTTTTTTAGGTCACGTACTTGATAATCAAGGCATCAAACCAGTTCATGAGGAAACAAAAGCTATCAAAA